GACTTTGTTGAATTTTAATTTTGTGTTTGAAAATTCTGTCCATTTAATAAAGTTATTGTTAATATTCTATTGGTTTAATGTAAGTGGCTATTGTTCGGGACAAACAATACTAAGGAAGGAGCACTGTTACGACAGCGGAAGTCACGTGACGCTAGTAACACGTCATGAGATTCTAGACCGATCGGGGAACATCACAAATAATCCAGTATTTGCTAGGCGCCCTCTATTCTTGTATATAAGTGCGCCAGATAAAGCGAGACAATCAATGGGAATTGAACAGCGGACAGAGAGATTGAAGATATAGACGGACAATTGAGTCAAGCACGGTAGTAAGTAAAATGCGTGAATCGTTCGTTGAGAATTATAGCGTGTGTTTAAGTGACTATGGAAATTAAGTGTATTACAAAGTTGTATTGAGAAGGAATAAATTAGTTTTATTTAAGAAAGGACTTGTATCGCTGAAGTTTCTCGGGAAGAATTTCTACCGGAAATTATCAAAATGGTTTACAAATTATGTAAGTACACCTAGTAGGCTATACTTCATTAGTTTACAGTTGTGATATCGTGAGATGTTATATTGTGACTTTAGTTTAGGCCTGTGTAAGGCGGTAATTAATTATTTATGTTATTGTCATTAAGTGGGTAATGAGTCACAAAACAAATAAACAAAACATTTTAGAGGTGGGGGCGCCAAAAGTGTCCTTGACCCCGGGTGCTAAGAACCCTTGCTACGCCTCTAATCTATGAGACCTCGGGCGTGGTCAAATACATGAATCGAAAGTGTTTGACACCATGAGTCCAAAACCGTAATTAGATCTCAAATCGGTTACGAGATGACGGAGCTATGAGCTAAAAGTTTGTACTAGAAAACTCGAGCAATTCTATGAGACGCTATGCCGCGGCTAAAAAAATAATTGTTGTTTATCTAAGATAATATGTCAGTAAAAAGAGCCTAAATATTAAACGTATAAATAATCAGCTTAACAGATAATTTTGCTATGGAATAAATCTAATTATACGTTTTCAATACGAAGATGTCATTGTTTTGATGGAAATAACTAAATCATATGTAAACAAGCGAAAAGCATGACAGTAGACAAAAAGCGACACCACCCATATATTTGTAACGCACAAAAATAATTAAAAACGTTATAGTGCCTATCGTCCACATTAATATAATGATTCATAAACAGACAGAAAATCGTTTTTTACACCAAAGACATATTAAGAGAATGGAGATAAAATTAATTTAATTCGTATACTCTTAGGTATATAAATAGCAACTTTTTTTAAACAAATAGACCCTTTTGTTTTTCTTGTCAGTACTATTTGCATCACATAGTTAAGGCTAAAAAAAGCAGACTTTTATAATTTGACAGTGACCATTGCAATAAAAATACATTATTTGAACTTGTAATATTCGGATATCAGTGTAATACGTCAAAAATAAGACTGTTTCTAAGACAGTAATTTTATTTATTTCAAAGGTTGGATTTGCTTAATTTATTGTCTCGTCCTTTTACTCACTTTTAAAAAAGAAAAAAATTAATCTTGCGATTGATGGAAACGTTACATGTTGATTCTAGACTAAATTATATGAAATACTTCGTGAAGGATGAATTATATCACGTTGATACACATAACGAACAAAAAAATGAAATCCGTAGAGGACGCCACCAATTATCAATATGGAATGAAGAACATGAGGATTAAGAGAAATGGCTTCAGCTAACGAAGATACAGTTAGCGATTCATTTGAACAATGGTTGAATTTACAACTAAGTAAGTTGAACACAGATCAAGAGGTGTTTGGATCATATATTAAAGGGATCCTCGAAGGCGAAGAAACTGAAGATGAAAAACGCGATGCACTAGAAGGCATTTTAACGGAAGTAACTGTAAGTTATTTTTTATTTTAAATCTGCTCGTACGAGTATCATTTATTTTAATTTTAAAATTTGACTACTTCTGCTTGTACTACTACTCAACTCAGTACTAGTACTATCATTATAGTTTCTGCTACAAATTGCATAGAAAAACTCCTTTTCGTTGTATGAATACATATATACTATTCGGGTCAAGTTCAACTTCAAAGTTCAAGTTAAATTTTGCAGGTGACCAGACTAAATACAACATTCAAATGAGGTTTAACCAGCACCTTTAGAAATTATAGGGTGAACCAGCAATCTTCTTGTCCTTTAAATAAGTTGAAGTAGACTTAGCTAGTACAAATAAACAATAGAGACTTACTACATGAAACAAGTTTAAGTTTTACCATATGTTGCAATTAAACAGTTAATAATATAAGGTTTTGTACTACAAGGTTTATTATAAAACTATCATATTAACAATACGAATAATTTTAATTTGACATATACGTGTGTGTATGATTGGGCTTTAGTATTTTATATTTTTATTAATTGATGTTTATCATAATAACTAACAGTGATATAAAAGTTTACTATAAATTTAAATTTTTACCTGATCATCAGTCATGTATATATTGAATTATGTCTACTTTGTATGCTATTGTTAGCTAAAATAACTGAAAGTAATTTAACTAAAGCTGTGCATCATAAGAACACATTTGTAACACTTAATTTTCAGCTAAATTAAAAGTTTTACCAACAAAGTTAAAAGTAAAGGAAAATTATAGACTTTACTAAATTGATATGCCCATATCTTCAAAATGTTTTAAGTTTAAAAAGGTTTGGTAAATCAGAGGTTTTTTTTGCTTGCGAGTTATTTTGATGACTGATGTGGCAATGGGGATTCAAGTGCCAATGGCACAGTATGTCTGTAATGTCTTTAAAAGTGGTACATTGGGCGATTAGTGGAATTTGTTGAGTCATTAATTGATTCAAGTAATCGATTTTTCTCATATGATACTAATCTTCATATTTTTAGCTTGTTTTGGTGGAAATGAAAGTATTATAAAATATATTAAAATGGCAGTAATATGAAAAAATCTTTAAGTACACACATATTGGAATTTTTTCTAATTCCATCATCAGTATGGAAAATTTAAAAGTCATTTAACAACTTTATAAAAGCATCATAAGGTTTTAAGCAAGAAGTTGTTGATACAGTACATAAGTTTAGAAAGAACACATTTAAATGACTAATGTTTACATTTTACCGTACAGGATAGAAGAAACTGTAGAAACACATGTGCATGTTGTTAATTAATAAATCAAACAACTTTAAGCTTACTGTATGAGGTAGCTAGTGTTTATGAGGCACAGGATGATAGTGAGACTTTTGTTTTCCCTTTACAGTGCTTTCTTTCTAACTAGAGCTAACTGTAATTAAACAGGAACCCTGTTCATGTAAGTAGATTAATGACTTAACAGTGTTACATATTGTTGACCTATTATTAGTCCATGTCTGGTAATTTTTGATAAACACAGTTAAATATGCAGTTTATTCAGCAATTAACATTCCTTTTAGCAAATAATGAATATTAATTTGTTGTAACTCTTTGTTATTAAAACAATCTTACCCTAAGTAACAGTATTACATATTGTTAGTCTGTTATTAGTCCATGTCTATAGATTATAATAAACATGGTTAAATGAGCAAATTTCAGCAGTCAACATATTTTTTTTTTTTTGATCAAATGAAAATGAATAAATACTAACTTACTGTAGGTACTTATTATAAGCTACAAACCTAACCAGTGTATTCCGTTAATCTATTATATTATTTAAACGTACTAAGTAAACACAAACATCAGGTATCTTTTTGGCTAGCTATGTAACCAGCAGCATATAGCCATACTCTCACATCATGAGTTGTTTACAAGCAAAATGCATGGATATCATCACTCCAATGGAAATAGTAATAACTAGTATTTTGATTACAGTAATAGGTGGAATAATAAAGAATTGGAAGCACTACTACTTTTTAGTTTATTATTTTTGGGGGTCATGACACTAATCAATTAATCTAAACAATTTTGAATTGATCAAAAATAATAATGAAATATTATAATGTTAATATTTTAATTATTTGGATAGTTGAAATAACCAGAAAATCTTATTTTGATAAGTTGATTTAATTGTAATTTCATGTAATTAATTATTTTATATCACTAAACGGTGTAATTGATGCTCATAGGTAATCAGTAATATCAAGGTGGTTGCTCAGCTCTATTTTTAAGGGTACCTTGCTTTTTCACACCAAAAGTTATGATCTAGAGATAAAACCCTCGAATTTGCAACAAAAGTCAAGATTGGATGCTTTCTCCTTGCCTTATGAAAACCTCTGGTTAATTCACATTATAACAAAAATAATGAAACTCTAGTTCTTTTGAGAGTTGGACCAGACTTCTTGAAGAGTAAGGGAAATGCAAGTGGTTTCATAATTTTGTTTTTAATAATGTATTTTAAGTTTTAAACATATTTAAAGTTTAAAGTATTGTCTAAGAAGAAGTAATTTTATTAAACATAAAATTATATTATTTTCCTTAGCAAAAACTATAATTTAAACATTAATATTATGATTATTATTCCCTATACATCATGTCCAGTGTGTTTGGTGCATACAGACTTAATGACTTCATATCAGTATAGTATTGCACATTGAGAAAACAGTACAGAAATAAGTCTGCGAACTGCAACCTGTATAGCAGTATTAAAATATTTATGGTAGAGACTACAGTGAATAGGAAACTAACATTTTAGTTTATTTGTATTTACAGGAAAATAAAATTTCAGAGCTTTGCACAGAAATAATGAATAAATGGACTTGTATGCATCAAGTTAGTGGAAATAATGCAAAGCAAGGTAAGACTTGAATAAAAACAGTGAAACTACAATAACAGTTCTGTATCTTTCAGTTAAATAATATATCTTATGAAACTGGTAAAAATATTATCTTATATTTTATCCTAACATTTTTCTACTGTATTTACTTTTTTTTTTGTACATTAACACCAGGTCTGGTCACCCTGGCTTGTTGATCTATTAAACAAATATTTAAGCACAGTGTATACTTTTTTTTTTGCTTGAATTGTCATATAGCTTCTTTAATCAGTAAAATTATCATTAAAGTAATTTATAACATGATTTTTTTGTACTGCAGTTGTGTTAAGAGTATGAATCATTTTCTGCAAACTTGTGTTTGTAATAATTTGTGTTTAGGCAAGAAAGGTTGTTCTTAACTACTATTGTTAATATTAGTCTGTACTAAAAAGAAGTTCTGATTCAGTACATTGCCTCCTCTCACATAAATAGCTATTCTCATTCAGTGCTACCCCCTATATGCAAAATGTTTTTTGCATGCCCCAAGCATTGAGATCCCACTTATCTTACAATCAGCTGGTTTAACTGTGTCTGTCTAGCATGTAAATCATCATGCGACAACCCTCCACCAATAAGAGTGCAACACTCTCCTGACACATGCGACTCCCTCTATTTGATTCTACCGAACTATCACTTCTCATTTGGCAGTACTCATGTCAAGATATTTCTGTAGTGCTCTTCAATTGTGTTTATTTCTTTCAACTTTTTGATTTTGTTGTTGTTATTATTCCGAAGAGGAATTGTTTTTTTTTCTTCTTTGTTTTCAAACGTTTATGACTTTTCAGATAACATTTATTTTCCTAGTTTTTCAATTTTTTTTTCTCATCAAATGGTTGTGTTTGATTTTTCATTGTCACACAATGGATTCAGAAGTTCAGGTTACCACTTCAGAGGTAATACTTTCTACTAGCACACTTACATAGGCTACAGTGGGGGTAACTCGTCTTTATTGCTTATCATTCACTGTAAGGTTGATCGTTATATGAGTCAACCTGCTATTCCTGATGTTGCCCTTATTCCTCCTGAATATGCCTAACCTGTTCGGTTTGATGAGTATTTTGTCAGCCTTTTTTCTCCACCTGATTTTGTCATGCCTTCCTATGGTCCTACTGCGGAATCAGCTGGGCCTAATACAGCTTTTTTTAGAAATGATTTCTCAGGTATGTTCTGTTTTATCCATATCCCTGATTTCATATGATCCCCTTCCCTCTTTGTTACCTGTTACATCCTCCTCTCAGTATTTAGTTTCCCCCTCTACAGGCTTCAGATCACTTTGCCTTGGCGTACTATCAGGCTGAATTTCTGTTTCTCAACTCATAGAATTGCTTTTGCCTGAGTGAGGGGAGTACCCTAATTATTCTGTTCGTTTATCCCACATCCAGTTTTCCCAACTCCATCTTATCCTGTTGACTCTCCTACGTCTTCTTCAGCTCTATCCTTGTATATGTGGTTTCTCTGTTGTTGGGATCTCCTGGGGAGGGATGTGGCTTACTCCCAGGTTTGTTTACCACCTACTTATCTCCAGGACTTATGTATGGCCCCTTTTTTTACAGTGGTATGTTTTTGGTAATATTTCTGAAACTTTGGAATCCCGTGTGGAGTCGGTGAGGCAACAAACTACCCTTTTTTCTTTGGTGGATCATTTGTCTCATTTAGAGTCTAGACATGCCATTATTACTGTTTCCTGTCCAGCTCCTTCTCAGCCCTTACTGGTTCCTACCTTCAGGGGTTCCTCATCTTATTATTTTATTTGATGCATATGGACACGTTGCCAACAGTACCAGTGTTTACCTGGTGGGTTCCAGTCCAGTGGGGGCTCACTTGACTGATTTTGTTCCCCTTTGGCAACTTTTTGCCACAGATCTGTGGGTTATTTGGGTATTATCTGAGGGACTTGTCATCATTATCCTTCCCCTCCTCCTTTGTCTCAGTTTCATTTTCATCAGTCAACATCTGCCCAATGTGGTACATATCTTCTCTCCCAGCAGTCCATCGAATTTTTCAGTCATCCTTCTTCTTCCTCCTTCCACTCTGACCAATTGGGTTCAACTTTTAATTTGATTGCCTTATGCTTCCTTATATTCTTCTTGTAATTTGTTCCAGGTGTCTTTTCATCAGATCAGGCACCTACCTTTTTTCTGGTATCTCCGTTGTCCATTGGAGTAAATTCTTCAATTGGGCATGTGGAGTACCCCATATAAATTCATATCTCACTATCTGCATCAGATCACTGTGTCTTCATCTTCAGGTTATCATCTTCCACCTGTAGCCAGTCTTTAGACTTCGATGAGACTGTGACTGAGTAAGTTAACTTTTATATATATATCTTTTCTTTTTTAGGGGCTTTTCTCTTTTCTTTTACTTTCTGCATTCCACTCTGTGACAAGTTGTGCCTGACCAGGTATGCTTCAAATAGTCAAATCCGCACTGTCAGGCCATATTGACTGCATATTTCTAAGAGGAGCTTCCATACCAAGAACCTGCCTCTGCAGGTACACACCTCCAACACAACCAACACCAGATCCACCAGGAACTGACATTTGTCGGATGTTAGAAAGTTGGAGGGCCCAGGTGGGTGTACATTCCCAGTCCAAAACATGATAGCATTGGGAATTTTTTGTCCATTCTGCAGTAGAAAGAGGGTAACCAGTCTTACACCTGTGGAAATTCATGTGTCTTGTCCAGCTACAACCAACAATCCACTGGGAACTGACATCTAATGGATGGTAGAAAGAGGGATGGCTATATGGGGTGCATATCCAGTCCAAAACCTGGTGGCATTGGGAATTTATTGTCCAGTTCGTGGTAGAAGGAGGGTAACCATCCAAACTCATGTGATTATGTCGTATCTGGCAAATGGTAAGAAGGAGAGTGCCTCAGCCAAAGGGTCAAACTGCAATTTATAGTAGAGTGCTACATCCAGTACCTGGCAGTATCTGCAATTGTACATCAGGTCCATGGTAAGAATGGCATCATGCCATCTACACTGGCAGAATGCCATTGCCCTTCTCTTAACTGAGTGTTATTGTGCACACTCAGGAGGACAGGCCTCCATGGTTCACCACCTCAGTGGCCAGGAGCTGGTAAATGGCAAGGACTCCCATACTGTACTAGAAGAAGGAAGGAAAAAGTGTGTTGGAGGGTCTGGAAAAAGTGCAATGGGTGACTGCAATACCCTATTTTGAAAAGCAGAGTGATTACGTGGATGGAGTTGATCAACTAACACCTGGCAGCATCTGGAATTGTGCATCACATCCTCAGTAGGAAGAACCTCAAATGCTATGAATCATTAGAGATTGGCAGTTATCCCTGTCTGATTTACTCATGTTAGTCCCTGAGTGTATAGTCCAGGATGAATATATTTATGAAGCAAAAGACTGCGAGGTATACCTATGAGCGGTTCTGCGAAACACCTAATTTTAACTGTGGGTGTAATATGACCTGGATATATATATATATTATGACATTGTATTTTGAAAGCATAGATAATACAATGACAGAGTTGGTCAACTGACACCTGGTGGCATCTACAATTGTACATCAGGTCCATGATAGGAAGAGCCTGAATGTTATAATCATCTACTATGGTATATAATCACAGGTCTTACAGTGCAGATTTAAGACTAAGTATACCTGGCTAGGCAACACTCGCCACAGAGCAGGATCAAACTATGCGATAAAGGCAGTGCAATGAAAATGAAAATTAATGGAGTACTTACCACCCACAGAGCAACAGTTACAGCACTGATGATGTTCTCAAGGGAAGATGGAAATGTGCAGCCAGGGACATGGTAAGGTGATGGATCTGAAAAGAAGAAAACATGAAAAAGGTGACAATCATCAGAAGAAAGGGAAGAAAATGACAGGTGAATTAACTGGGAAATTCAACCAGAAGGATAATGGGAATAAGAGGTGAGGATTTCACAGTAGAAATAAATTGATTCGGGGAACCACGGAAGGGAGCAGTATGTGGCATATATTTCTGGAGAGCCATCACCAGTCAGGATCGGAATGATCATAAATGTGGGAAATGGAGGGAATGGAAAAAGGTGTGAAGGTAGAAGTACTTTCTCTAGCAGCCAAAATCCTGGGCATAAAGGAAAAATCGGGAAAGAAGGAGAACATATGAGCTAATAAAAAAAAATGTGGTGAACATCAATCACAAACACATCAGAATGAAAAAGTTCACATACCAACAAGAGCAGAAACAGGGACTTCAAGGAAAGGTGACATAACAAACACAAAGACAAAAATTCCAATGGAGGATGGGGAAGAGCATAGAGGACCACGTAGAGGTGTTAATCAGGAAAGTAAGCAGGGTGAGGAGGATGAGAAAAGAAGAAGGAACACAACAGCATGAATAATACTGGAAACTGGAAAACACAAGCAAAAAGGATGGTATGTAAGGAATCATAGGATGGGAAGGATGATAACCCCCTAGGACAGACAAACAGCAGTATGTGTACCATGTATGTTGGTAAACTGCTATGGAGGAAGGGCTAAAGGAAACAAAGGAAGTTGCATACAAAAGGCTGTCCTTTCAGGGGAGGGACTTGACAAAGCCACATGTTTAGATGGATTACAGTTATGGATGGATTAAACACACTGGAGTGTGGCTAACTGTGGAGTGTAGGAGATAAGGGAAGAGAAAAGGGTAGGTGACACTAAAAATTGGTGCTGCAGTGGAAACTATGTTTGAGCCAGCCAATACAGAGCCACCATCAGAACACTACATGGAGTGGTCTGAAGTATGGCAAGGACACTCGGAAGGAAACAAATAGGAGGATATGCATATAGGTACCCACCCGACCAATCTAATGAACTACTCCCGCCAAAGGATGAGGAACATGAGACCAAAATCAGAGAAGTGGTATTTTGAGAAAAGTGGCAAAAGTGTCTAAATCTGGAACTCTCCACAGAGCATACAAAACTTGAAAAATTTGAGGATCTGAAGACCACTCTGCAGGGAGAATTTTGTGAGGATGGGATAACTTAACCGTGACCAGATTCAGGGCACCCAGTTTATGACATGCCAACAAAGTGATGTGATGGCGGTAAGCCCAACACAGAAGATCCAATGTTTGAAAACAGAGGTCTGTAGACTGAGTGCTTCATGTCCAGTGATGTATGAGACTACCATAGAAATGTTGGAGTGGACTATCACCAACCAGCCCCAAAGATCCTGCAGGAAGTGAAGAAAACCTGATGAACAGCAAGATGTTCTAAGAAGTTGACATGGAGAGAGGACTTTGAAAGAGACCATCACCATCAAACTTCCTGAGTGTCGAGATACACCCCCAACCATAAAACTTGACATTCTGGACGAGAGAGAGGAACGCTTATGGTAATATTGTTCTGATCCAACCACCAGTTGAAGTCAGTATGTAAGGGAGGGGGAGGAGTAAGAGGTGCATCTAAGGCTCCATTGTACTATCAAAGCCCACTGACGATGATGCATTAGGGCATGACCAAGAGGAATGAAAGTTTCGAGAGAAGTCCATGTCCCCAAATGAGAGAGAACCTCTCACTCAGTAAAAGGAGAGGATGAGATACTGCATACAAGACATTCTATAGCTCACAACTGAAGTGGAGCATATAGGGCCCAATGAAGAAGGGAGTTGGAAAAGAAATGGGATTGTGAGACAATGGAAGAAGAGGACCAGACTTACTGAAATTACTTTCAGAACCCATGGATTGATCACCAAGAACCTCCAAATATGGGCAAATTGAAGGAGTGTGACTCCTATCAGACATGACCCAAGAAAGGTGGTCAGAGTAAGTCGAATATGGAAAAAGATAATTCAATTATTGGGGTCTGATCCCCACTAAGTGACACCAAATGCTGTGAGTCCAAATTAGGGAAGGTGAAACAATGATAATCAAAAGCATGATTGTCCACAGTAAGAGGGGGTCAAGGCATACTGACCCCAAAATGTAAATGCTCCCCCCAAAACGATTCTCATGAACACCAATATCCGGGGAAGGAGGAAACACTAAATAATGACCCAAAGGTTTGCGCAAGACCCCAAAATGACACATGACTGAGTTGTACATTCAGAAGGGAGAAAAAGGCTGTCCAAATCCAATGCATAACTTACAAAATTGAAAAAAAGAGAAGATAAAATAATTCATAGCACTCCACAAAAGAAAACAAAAATGGTAAAGAACAATGTAACTGAAATAGAAAAATGAAGAAAGTAAAAACTTATGGATAAGTGAATCAAACCAAGAGCGAAAACATGTCTATTCAATAAGACTGCCAATCGAGAAGTGGTTAACAGCTGCAAGATTAATAGAGGGCACTAGTTATGATAGGGTAAGGTCGCACTCCTATTGGTGGAGGGTTGCTGCATAATCATTTGTATGTTAGTATGCAGGGGTAAGTGAGAGTATCAAGGCTAGTGATGAACGAATATTTGTGCTGATAGAGGGCAGTATAAGTCGAGAAAGCTGGTGGTCAGTATAATAATGTATTTTGTACTTAGCCACCTGGTTGAAGAGAGTTTTTATTTCTTATATTCAGTCATGGAATTAATTACTAGGCTGTAAAACTACCAATACTATTTGTAATTATTATTATGTTTTTGTAACATTAAGGTAATACTGAAATGTTAGGGAAAGTTTTAATCTTTTTTGTAGTTAAAGGCATGTTTTTAATTAGAAATTTATCCAGCAGTTACCATTTAACATTTTATATCAGAAATTTAATGCCTCCACAACAAATGTTTCATTATTTATCTATCTGTTTTAAACAGAAAAAAGAGAAGATGTTGACACAAGATTGGCCAAAATTATGGAAAAGCAAGCACAATCTGTGTCATCAGGAAGAAATCTCAGTGTTGATGAAAAGAAAGTGCGGGAGGCCATATTAGCTCATTACTCTCAAGTATCAGATGGAGAAGGGTATCCTTTTAACAGAAGAATAACATGTTAGTGTTTTTTGTAATGATAAAAGTTGATGATGCATGAGTAAATACAGAATAATGTTATCCTGTTCACAGTAGTATGTTCATATTTGAATAAAATATGAACTTACTTTTTGGGGTCGGGGATGGTGAAATTTTTAAAAATTATAATCTTTTATACTTTTTTGTTATAGGCAACGACAATAGATTATCTTAATTTTGTGAGACTTGAAACTATGAAAACCAGACTGCCTATCCATATTTTAAAAGTGTTCTAAGTTTTTACAATAGCTTTAACTCTTTCAGCACAGGCTCGGTCCCATTTTGTAACCATTTTGTGCTTGTTATAGTTTTCCTGTTATAATTAGTAAG